CTCTCCACTGAAACTCTCCCACCCCCTTCAGCTTTGTTTCACTTAAAGCCAGGACATCCAGCTTCTTCTCATTCATAACATCCACAAGTATCTCTTTCTTATCATTCGCACATGGCACACACTGGGCAGCTCAGGCCACACGTGGACACGTCTCGGATGACTCACGTATGGCGGGATTTTAACAGGAACAAGGCAAAATTTTTGCGTTAAAATGTATTGAATACCGGATTTATCGGATACCGATGCCATCGCAAACTGGGGGTCCACTGTATACGGGAGTAACATCTGTATTTTATATTCTAGCACTGTGGGAGACATAGCAGTACAGTACTGTAAATGGGTTTATCTTTACATTCTTTTTTCTTAAGTGTGATGTATGAAGCTGAGTTAGAAATTAAAGTGTTCTATGGGGCATATTTAGAGTTTAAACTATAAAAATAGGCATTTATAGGAATTTTTTTAACCGCGTCCAGAATTCACGGCTTTTCCAAATTTGCGGGTGGTCTTGGAATGTAATCCCTGCAAATTTGGGGGGACTACTGCACTTTCAATTACAATTTTTTCATATACAGTGGACCCCCGCATACCGTACGCATCCAACTGACAATCCCATACCGGGACGCTTGATCACAAAAATTTTGGCCTGAAAACCCCGCCCAAAAAACCCGCTCACCGCCCTTCGTCCGAGACCGCCAATGTGGGGCCTAGCCACGTAAATTTCCGCCGGGGATTGTTTACCCCCCACCTCCGGGGTAAATCCAAGCATACAACGGAACATTTTGTTTATTACATGTTTTTTGGTGATTTTTTCTGGAAAATAAGTGACCAGGGCCCCAAAAAGCTTCTGGGCCCAACCCTACAGCAATAAGGTGAGAATACAAGAGATGAAGAAAAAATCATTATAATTTATGAAAGTGGGTGCGTGTCTCCGAGCTGGCCGGTTGTAAAAAAAAACCCCAATCAACCATCGTACTATTGGGTACGTGCTGCTGTACCCCCGTCAGCTGCTTGCCACTGTCATGCGCTGCTGTACCATGTAGTGCTGGGTGTTACCACTGTCAGCTGCTGCTGCACTGCAGCTGCGCTGCTGTTGTACCACCGTTTAGCCTGTGCTGCTGTAGTACCGCTGCTGCTGCTGTGCATCGCGCTCTGCTGTAGCTCGCTGCTGGCTTAGCATGTCTGCTGCTGCGTAACATTGCTGTTGCTGCTTTTTCATCGTCTGCTGCGCTGTAGATCCGTTCTGCGTGCACGTCTGTTTTGCTGTACCACCGTAGCTGCTGGCTGTTGTACCACCGTCGCTGCTCTGCGCTGTATATGTCCTGCGCTGTAGCATCACTCTGCTGCTGTTTTGCATCTCTGCTGCGCTGTAGCATGTTTCTGCTGCTTTTAGATTTTCTGCTGCTGCTGTAGCATCGTCTGTGCTGCTGTAGCATCATCTGTTTTTGCGTACATCGTTGCTGCGCGTGCATCGTCTGTTGCTGCTGTAGCATGTCTGTTGCTGCTGAGCCCGTTGTTGGTGGGCTTATGAAAAATCCCAAAGGGAAAAATTTAAACCCCATGGATTTTCCACCCAGGATAACCAAAAAAATCAGTGTCATCAAAAATGCTAACTTATTTCCTTTGGGGGTCCTTATCTTGTCTCCCAGGAATGAACCCACACCAGTCGCTAACCCCAGGTGAACAGGAAAAACGCCTAGAACTAGGCTCATAGGGTAAAATTTAAAGTCAGAAAAAGGTTTGGGTTTTGGAAGATTTAAGAATCGCTGTTCTGGATCAGTCAGCTGTTGCTGATCACAGTTTTGATGGACAGTCAGCTGTTGCGGCCCAAACAGTTTTTCTGGATCTCACGTTGCTGGACCATCAGCGTTGCTGGATCTCAGCGTTGCTGGACCAGTCAGCTGTTGCGGGATCAGTCAGCTGTTGCTTACCAGTCACTGTTTGGGATCAGTCAGCGTTGCGGGACCAGTCAGCTGTTGCTGGATCAGTCCTTTTGCTGTACCAGTCAGCTGTTGCTGGATCAGTCAGCTGTTGCGGACCAGTCACTGTTGCTGATCATCACTTTTGCTGGATCATCAGCTGTTGCTGGCCAGTCACGGCGACCAGGGTCGTTTCTGTTCACCATCATTTCTCTGAACTTTTGCTCGCCTGAACCAGCCCGAACCTGTCTGTCCACCTGAGCGCCTGCCTTGCCGTCAGTGTTTACAAGCCAGGGGCCTTTTGCATGCATACTTTTCGATACATTTTGTATTTTTCCTTTATTTAAGTGTTTGTAACTACTAAATAACCCCCAAAGGGCCCAAAGAAAGTTCTAGTGCCAACCCTTGGGGAAAAAGGGGGTTTATAAATACTATCGTACCACATCAGTGCTGCTGCACCACAGCGCAGCTCACCCACTGCTGGCACCAGGGTCAGTGCACCACAGTTTTTGTTGTTGCTGCACCACCATCAGCTGTTTTACTCAAGATGTGGGAGGTGTTTTGGTGTGCTTAACGTGAAACAATTACCAAGAAAAAAAACCCCCGGGGGGTACCCCCCCCAGGATAACCCAAGAAATCAGGCATCATGAGGGCTCTAACTTATTTCCATTGGGTCCTTAATCTTGTCCCCAGGATGCAACCCACACCATCGATAACCCCAGGTGAAAAGGGAAAAAAAGCCTGGAACTAGTGCTAATTGGTGAATTTTTAAAACCACAAAGTTGGTTTGGAGATTTTAAAAAACGTAGTGGCATACACAGGTGATAAGGCCTGTTCGGAAAAAAATGCCCAAAAAGGACCTACAGTACTCAGGGGGAAAAAAGGCACTCCCAGGACACATGTCCTCTCTTTGCGCATTTTTAATAAAGGAAGTGTCATTTTTTCTTCATTTAGTAGATAGTACATGCACAATATTATTGTGCATTACTACTTACTATTGTGCATGTATCTTTTCTTGTGTTAGGAAAAATTATATTTCATGTGGTAAATTTTTTTTTTTCATACTTTTGGGTGTCTTGCACGGATTAATTTGATTTCCATTATTTCTTATGGGGAAAATTCATTCGCATACCGAACATTTCGCATAACAACCAGCCCTCTTGCACGGATTAAGGTCGCTATGCGGGGGTCCACTGTACAGTACTTTTATGCAATATTTTCCTTTTATCTTACTATACTACAGATGCCCAGACTGGATAAAAATATATAACTAATAGCAAATAAATTACCAGTTAATTTTCAGATTCTGTACTTTAACCCTTTGACTGTTTTGGTCGAAAATATACGCCTTACGCGCCACTGTCTCGGACATATTTATACACGTAAATTTTAGCGGTTTCAAATCAAGCAGGAGAAAGCTGGTAGGCCCACATGTGACAGAATGGGTCTGTATGGTCAGTGTGCACTACATAAAAAAAAATCCTGCAGGACGCTGTGCATAATGAGGAAAAAAAAAACACTCTGACCATTTTTTTTTGGATTAAAACGCAGACTTTGTCCAGTGGCTAACGCGACGGTCTGGAGTTTTGAGACTCTCTGATTGCGGCTTCTATCCCTGCCCGTCGTATGGTTTATTTGCAATCGTGTCATTACGATTTTGAGAGTCATTTTGAGATGTATTTTCGTATAGTATTTATCATTGTATTCTCGTTTTCATGGTCTCATGTGATAAAATGGAAAACATATTACAGAAATAGAGATGATTTTGATTAGTTTCATGATGGAAACGAGCTTGAAATTGAGCTCAAAGTAGGGGAAATGTTCAATTTTTACCAATGTTCAGGAGTAAGCAAATCATACCACACGTCCAATAAACGTCAACTGGGGAGTTTAATATTCTTTCACTAGTGCACTGATGTTTTTTATACCATTTTTACAATAATGCAGTAGTCTGCATAACAGTAAATTTTGTATTTTTTGTATGAATAAAAAATCAAAATAGAAAGCAATAGTAATATAAGAGGGGCCTAGAGACGTGACTAATGAACAGTGGATATGTTATTTTAGTGCCAAGAATGTCTACATTGTTTATTCTGGACCCTATTTTGAAATTGGCATCTTTTTTAATTTGTGTGAAATTGGCCAAATTGCCAATTTCTTGCACTCAACTGATAGAAAAAATGGAGTTCTAAAGAAATAGCTATGAGTTTGGTCAACTGGAACAATGGAATTGGCCAAAACCAGGGCTCAAAGTTGGCGATTTCGCCGATGAGTATATGTCGCTGAGACCGCTAACTTTGCAGGAGCGTAATTCCGTGAGTTTTCGACCAAATTTCGTACTTTGGGTGTCATTACCACTGGGAAAAGATTCTCTGTCATTTCCTAAGAAAAAAATAATTGTTTTTTTTCCAAAAATTTTGTGACATAGAATGACAATTTCAGAAAGGGGCTTGCGACAGTCAAAGGGTTAGAAAAAAAGTAATCAAAAATATTATTTTCTTTTATACACACACTAGATGAACACAGGAAGACTTGAGAATCTTTGTATATTATGTGTAAAGATCATGGTATGTATGATAATTCTTGGATATCTTGACCAAATAAATAGCAATATAAGAGTAACTGATGCTAAATTCTAGCAAAAGGAATACTAAAAGAACTCAATTTTCGATTTTTAACACACTGGCCATTTCCCACGGGTGACCTGAAAAAGTAGAAACACTTTCATCATCAGTCATTGTATCACTGTCTTGCCAGAGGTATGCCAATACCACAGTTCAAAAACTGCAACATATCCTCACCCTTCCTTCAGAATCCATGATAAATCAAAAGCAGTACAATAAATATTTTATTTATTTTAGCAACTACTGATTCAACGTGAAAAAATACTTTATGTTTACTATATGACTCATCTGCTTGGGAAGAGCTCTGTATAACCTATGTAAGATCTTTGTGTAAGACATTTATAGGAAAAATACTTATGCCAAATTATGTTAAATGATAGAAATATGCACAATGCTCTATTTCATAATTTGTTAATCTAGAGAAGCAACTTGCAAGGCACACATTACTGCACTGACTTACCTTACGGGCTTCAAACACCCAATGGCTCTGACCCTCATCATCTATGTAATTCCACCAACGAAGGCCAACCATAAGACGTCCTAATGTAAAGATGTAAAAGGAAAGACCTGTATCAGTTCTGGACAATGTTAAAGATAAAGCAGTCTTTCTAACAACAACAAAAGCAGGGGTGGGCAATTATTTGGACTGGTGGGTCACACAAAGTACTTTTGTTGATGTGACATTGTAAATTTTTAAGAATGGCTCAAATTCAGGTCTTCCATTTGTACGTTGAAATTATCTATGAAAATGTGAGAAGGTTGTTCAATGAAAAGAATGCTAGTGATAATGTGTGTTAACCAAGCTCAGGTCTGGTGTTGGCTCTGTTGCTGCAATGTTGAGTAATAAGTGCTCCTCCAAATCTAAGTTTTAATTTCTTTAGTTTCATCACAGAAAATGTCTGCTCACAGTATGCTGGGCTAATCATTTCAAACAGTCTTCGAGCATGAATCTTTAAATCTGAAAATGCCCACAAACTTTCATATTCATATTGGATCATATTGCCAATTAACCCCTAAACGGTTTAAATATATATATATGTTCTCTCCCCCATTGCCCCGAAAACAGCAGGGCCCCGCTTTATGGCATTTCGCTTTACGGCGTTCCGCTAATACGGACATTTCAAATTATGACCAAAACTTGCTATATGGCTCCCCCCACCTGTCTTTCTAATACGGTCACAGCGGCCCACCGAGTTTGTTTACATTCTCCCTGAGCACATCTCCTTATTATGTCTGGAAACTTTCCAAAATTTCAAGTGTTTTAAAGTTATTGTATATTTTATATGTATTGTACTTGATAATTAAACTTGTGTACACCTGTACCTAAATAAACTTACACACTGTGCTGGCATGTAGGTACACATTAAAATCACTAAGAGTCTCTCTACTCTTGATGCAATAATAATAATAAATAATAATAATAATAATAATAATAATAATAATAATAATAATAATAATAGTAATAATAATAATCTCTTGGGCGCATTAATGTCGCATATTACGTTAATATAGACATTTCCCTTAATCTATCTATGATATTTTTTTAAAAATTATATAAGAAACACATTATGTAACACACAAACATGATACATGCACCCACAGTATAAAAATTTATACAAATATATATGAGATGTTTACCAAACGGTTTGTAGAAGTGTCGGAAGAATTACGTTTTCTCTAGCCCGTCACCTGTTACTAGGGATAACTGTAGAAAAATATTCCTTTCGTATGCCTTCACTTTATAGCTATAATTCTGTACTAACTTGTACACAGTGTAAGAGTATTTGTTTCGTGATTTAATTATTATAATAATAATAAAAATATTATAAGGTAAAAGTTCACAAACTCTTACAAATGTACATGAATGAACTAAAACTGGACACGTATTAATACCGTCTATTTCGCCTGACCGAGTGATCGTCCACAACCTGTTCAGTTTGTTTGTTTACGCTGTCTGAGCTCGGTGTATCATTAAATGTTGTATATTACGTTAATATACACATTTTCATTAATCCATCCGTGATATTTTTTTCAAAATTATATAATAAACACGATACATAACATAAATACATAACAACATGTGTAGAGAACCTAGGATAACCCAAAAAAGTCAGAGTGACTTACTTCCATTGCCTTCACTCAGAGCATCATTTCTTCTCAAAATGATGTTACATGAGAATGGGAGTGTTCTTCTTTATTTATTCTACCGTATCAATGTAGAGACAACCTGTACACAATGTAACTTGTACACAAACCAGACGTGTACACTGTTTACAAAACTTAACTTCGCCTGGTTTGTTTACATAACTCTGCGCCTGTCCTCTCTCATGCACTCATTCTTTCTCTCTGGTATGGTAGCCTGGCTGACTACCATACATACCACACTTGATTTTTTACAATAAATACTACTCATCTCACCCTATATTTTAAGGTAAGTAATGAGTGAACTGTATATACATTTTATCGCTCTGGGATGCTTAAATATCATAGAATAGTATGTGTGGGTGGGTTGGCCTGGTATGGTAGCCTGGCTGACTACCATACATACCACACTTGATATTTACAATAAATACTACTCATCTCACCCTATATTTTAAGGTAAGTAATGAGTGAACTGTATATACATTTTATCGCTCTGGGATGCTTAAATATCATAGAATAGTATGTGTGGGTGGGGTGGCCTGGTATGGTAGCCTGGCTGACTACCATACAAACCACACTTGATTTCTTACAATAAATACTACTTGTCTCACCCTAGATTAAGACTATAAATATTTTAAGGTAAGTAATGAGTGCACTATGTGTGTATTGTACTTTTTTATTGTTTTTTGATGCCTGGTTCTATTGCTAACATAATATATGTTAGTGTAAACTTGTTATCTAGTGTTTGTATGCATTTGTAAGTGGAAAAAAAAGGGTGTTCCACTTTACGGCGGTTTCCGCTTTATGGCGGTAGCCTGGAACCTAACCCGCCGTATAAGTGGGGCCCTCCTGTATTTTGAAAATAATTTTTTTTTTTCATTGAAATAAAGAGAAAATTTTTCTAAGTGTTACAGGATTAAAATAAAAAAAATTGGGGTCAGTACTTACTGAGATATGAGGCTGCAAAGTTGGCACTTAATGCTCACCTGATGGCAACGTCGAGTCCTGCCTCTTGAGGAAGTGTTGCCGATATACCTTTTTTCTCGTTTCTATATTATTTTATATAATTTTTATGTTCTGATAATGACAATTTATTGTACAGTGGACCCCCGGTTATCGGCTGGTTCAGTTATCCACCAACTTGGTTATCGGCCGGTTTTTCGGCATCCGGTTATCGGCCGTTAATTCGGTTATTGGCCATTTGGGAGGCATCCATCCGCCGGCTGGGGCCGCTTGCGAGTCAGTTTGGCTTTGTCTCTGGGCAAGTGAGGAAGCTTCTGCTCATTCATCCAAACATTTTGCTATAATCCATTGTTTTTGTGGTTATTGATTGAGTACAACTGCAAAATAAGCAACCATGGGCCCAAAGAAACAACTTGCGTAGTACAGTGGACCCACGCCTTACGAACGCATCGCGTTTCGTTAAATCCGCCATACGAAGCATTTGAACACAAAAATTTTGCCTTGCTTCACAATAAAAAATTCACCTTACGTGATTCATCTGGGACACGTCCCACATGTGGCCTCAGCTGCCACGTGGGTGCCAGTATTTACAAGCCAGCCAGTGTGGTTGCATCTAAGCATACATTCGGTACATTTCATATTATCACAGTGTTTTTAGTGCTTGTAACTGCAAAATAAGTCACCATGGGCCCCAAGAAAGCTTCTAGTGCCAACCCTGTGGTAAAAAGGGTGAAAATTACAATGGAAATGAAGAAAGAGATAATTGCTAAGTATGAAAGTGGAGTGCGTGTCTTGGAGCTGGCCAGGTTGTATACCAAACCCCAATCAACCATCGCTACTATCTTGGCCAACAAAACAGCAATCAAGGAAGCTGTTCTTGCAAAAGGTGCAAGTTTGTTTTTGAAACAGAGATCGCAAGTGATAGAAGATGATGAGAGACTGTTACTGGTGTGGATAAACGAAAAACAGATAGCAGGAGATGGCATCTCTCAGGCAATCATATGTGAAAAGGTTAGGAAGTTGCATGACAATTTAACCCTTTGACTGTTTTGGTTGTATAGATACGTCTTATGAGCCAGTGTTTTGGACGTATATATACTCAATAATTCTAGTGGCTTCAAATCAAGCAGGAGAAAGCTGGTAGGCCCACATGTGAGAGAATGGGTTTGTGTGGTCAGTGTGCACAATATAAAAAAAATCCTGCAATACGCAGTGCATAATGAGAAAAAAAAAACTGACCATTTTTTTTGGATTAAAACGCTGACTTTGAGGTGTATTTTCATATAGTATTTATCGTTGTATTCTCGTTTTCATGGTCTCATGTGATAAAATGGAAAACATATTACAGAAATAGTGGTGATTTTGATTAGTTTCATGATGAAAACGATCTTGAAATTGAGCTCAAAGTAGCGGAAATGTTCAATTTGTACCAATGTTCAAGAGTAAGCAAATCACACCACACATCCAATACACATTAACTGGGGAGTCTAATATTCATTCATTAGTGCACTAATATTATTTATACCATTTTTACAGTAATGCAGTAGTCTGTATAACAGTAAATCTTCTATTTTTTGTATGAATAAAAAATCAAAATAGAAAGCAATAGTAATATAGGAGGGGCCTAGAGGCGTGACTAATGAAGAGAGGATATGTTATTTTAGTGCCAAGAATGTCTACATTGTTTATTCTAGACCCTATTTTGAAATTGGCATCTTTTTTAATTTGCGTGAAATTGGCCAAATTGTCAATTTCTGACCACTTTATTGGGTAGTTCAAATCAGTAAATGGGTGCTTTCTTGTACTAAATTGATAGAAAAAATGGAGTTCTAAAGAAATAGCTATGAGGTTGGTCAACTGCAACAACACAATTGGCCAAAAATGGGGCTCAAAGTCGGCGAAATCGCTGATGCGTATATGTCGCCGAGACTGCTAACTTCGTGGGAGCGTAATTCCGTGAGTTTTCGACCAAATTTCATACGTTTGGTGTCATTACCACCGGGAAAAGATTCTCTATCATTTCATAAGAAAAAATAATTTTTTTTTTCCAAAAATTTTTCAACATAGAATGACAGTTTCAGAAAGGGGCAAGCGGCAGTCAAAGGGTTAATTAGAAAAATGTCTGCAACTAGTGGTGATGTGAGTGAATTTAACGCCAGCAAAGGTTGGTTTGAGAGATTTAAGAATCGTAGTGGCATACATAGTGTGATAAGGCATGGTGAGGCTGCCAGTTCGGACCAAAAAGCGGCTGAAAAATATGTGAAGGAATTCAAAGAGTACATAGACAATGAAGAAGTGAAACCTGAACAAGTGTTTAATTGTGACAAAGCAGGCCTGTTTTGGAAAAAAATGCCATGGAGGACCTACATTACTCAGGAGGAAAAGGCACTCCCAGGACATAAGACTATGAAAGACAGGCTTACTCTTTTGATGTG